ATACTTTACTTATTAAACATATTATATATTTTTTATTATTAAAATAAGTAAAATAATATTTATTACGCAAAATCACAATTGTAACAGCGAAAAAAGCTCGGACAATCTAGCGAAAATTCAAGAACATCAACTTTTCGATTATATTTGTAACTTAAATAAAATAATAATTATAGAAGTTATAATAAAAAAACCAAATGGTTTGAGTCCGCTTTATTAAGAATTTTTTAAATATCAAATTTTTATATTAAAAATCAATTCAAAAGACGATTAATATTCAAAAATATAAAAAATTTAATACAAAATATTTGATTTTCAATCAAATTCAATCGATAATCAAACATTATTTATTCTATTTATTAATAAATTATTAATAAAAATATTTTAAACTTGGTTAGACTTTTAAAGATCTCGATTACGCCGATCTATGCATCTAGTTTTGAATATTATAGCAATATTCGTTGCTAATTTATTTCTAATACAAGTTGAAATAATTGAAATGGGACACTTGCTTGACCTGGGACACTTGCTTGTCCTGACTGTGACCGAGAGCCCGCAGGTCACAAAGTCAGTGCACTGACTATTAGAGCTCAGGAAGATTTCAAAGTAATAACTTAAAATCAATATCTATCGAGTATACCAGGGCAGAAGACCAAGTTCTCTGTAGTGTCACCAACGAGCTAGTTATTCGATTTATAAGATTCTTAATGTATTTAAATTAAAATTATAAAATGAATAATAATACCAGGGCAGAGGACCAAGATCTCTATAATGTCACCAACGGGCTAATTACTAATTTGTATAATGTGGAAGGGTCTGTGATGGCCTAAGGCTGTCAGGCCTGTTGGGAGCACGTGCACGCTAGAGGAGGTACATAGACTTCTCCCACCAAAGGGAACTTAGAAATATCATCCTCTCCACACAACTCGGTCCTCCCCCTTTACTATTGAAGTGGTGACCTACGCAGCGACCGACTTGATAATCCTTTGATTCGCAGACAAAGAGCCTAAACAATACATTAAGAATACAACTATTAAAGAAACAAAACTTCAGCTTTAATAATCCTTTTTAAAGAGTTCATCGACAAATTATCGCTTTACTAGCACTTTAACTAAAACCATCTCAACTAAAACCTACGGACTTATAAAGAAATCACGACTTACAATTAGATAAATGCATAAAGAAGGAACAAAAGAACTCTACTTCGGCTTACTTTTTTTAATAGACTCGAAAAGGAAATACGAAGAGAACGTTTATTACTTTTAGCATTCACTACCGATACTTTTATCAAAAGAAAAGAGTTTACTTTTAATAGCCTCGATACTTTTTACTTTAGAATAACAAGCATAGCATAAGCTGATTATTAACTTTCTCTTACGAACATATTTATAGCTAACAAGATTAATAACCTTATTACTTTAACTATTAGACATTAAGACTTAATCACTACTTTTTAACCTTTAAGACCGAATAAGTGTTAAGTTCGTGCTTAAGATTGATATAAAGATTTATAACATAAATGCTTTTATAAAGACTAAGCAATAACAAGATACTTAAGCAACTAATCAATTGTAGAATTATTATTTCACTTTTTTCTTTACTACTATTATACTATTACTTAAAGCAATAAATAAGATATCGAACTTAAGGATGCCGAAGTTCGACTAGTGTAAAAACTACGATAAAAAGATGCCGGTTAAGTTATAGCTAAACAAGCTAGACTATGATTTCGAAATCGATAGCTTCGATAACCTTTTTTTTTAACGTACTTTAAAGCAATCTTAATTTTGCTAATAAAAGAAGCTAGCAGAAAGTTCAGATTTAATATAAGAATAAGATACATTATAATTAATTATATTATAGTAATAGAAAAAAAGAAGGCCGAAGTAATAAAATAATTAAAGACGCAATTTCTTAATAATAAAAAACTAATAAAAGAGCAAGACGTGATCGCCGAAGTCTTTAACTTATAATAAAGATTATAAGAAAGTCTCGCATTTTATTATTCACGAACGGTCGCGCTATTAAAAAAGATTAAAAGAAGAGATTTAGAAAAGAACGAAGCACTATTAATAATAACGAATCAATTCGATTCAGACAAGTATATACTTAAGTCTATTACGTCGGCTTTTATTAAAAAAGTTATAAACGATAAGCTTCGGATATTAACTTTAATTAATAATGCTTTGCTTTTGCTTTGCTTATAAAAAGCATACGAGACTTTCGTTCTCTTTTAAAGTGCACTTAAAGCATAAAAGAAGATTAAGTCGAATATAAAAAAGATTAAGATATACGAAAGAATGCAAAAGTATGTCGAGCATTATATCGGAGTCTTAATACAAATAGCTTTAGCATCTTTTCAAGATATCTTATACGTCGCCGCTTTATTAAGTTTCAACTTAAGACTGCTCGTCTAACTTATAAAGCTAACTTAACGCATCTTAAAACTAAAGCAAGATAAGAACTTAACAATTCTATAGCAAAATGCTCTTTTCTTTTTAATATAAAAACAAAGTAGATATTAAAAAAACAATTAAAAACCGAATTATTAAAGCGAGTATACAAACTCTTAGACTTAAAGCAACTCAACTATTATTAAACAAATTAAATAGCAATTGCTTTTGCGCTTATTACTTTTAAACGAGCTACTTTTTGCATTACTTCGACTAGCATCTAAATCTAAAAACTAGTTTATTAATAAATCGAGAATCTATAACAAATCGAAAGATAGACTCTTATGCATAAGCTATAAACAAATAAGCTATTTAAAAACAGCTTGCTTTAACGCTTAATTCTAAGACTAAGAAAAGGCTTATTTTAAAAGAATCTGTTATTTAAAAAAAACGGTTATAATATAATCGTCGGCTCGCTTAGGTGGGCCTCCTTTCAGCCTTTCAGTCTTAGTCGGTATAAGCGACTGCGGATCGGAAGCGAGTGCGGATTTTTAAAATAAGCTTTTTCGTAACCGTTAAAGTCGTTTAAATGTTTTTTAACGTCCAACTATTAAAGAATTTTAAAAAAGAAGAATATTATTAAAGCCGTTCTCGGCAAAGTAAAGTAGTTATTGATAATGTAACGACTTTAAGCGATTACTTAAAAGAACTCACGAGAGCGCGGAAGTTTATATAAGAGCTTAAGAGAATCTTAAAGTAATGATTTAGAATTAATAACTATCGAGTGTAAAGGTCGAAAGTAGCTAAAGTTTATATACACGAAAGTAAAAGCGCTAAGGACTCGTAAACTATAGTTTATAAGTTAAAAACAGAGAATAAGAGAATACGAAGAATACGAAAGAAAAAAGGAAAGAAGTAGCTTGGCGCATATGAGGTGCGTCCAAGAGACCTGGCGTGTCGTCACAAGCGCCGATTTTAGTTATAGCGTTAGCAAGGTTAAATTTGCCTTCGATCTAGCGTACCTTAAAAAGCTCTTGCTTTTCGTATGACTCCTGAATAGCTATAATATCGATTATAAAGCGCTTTTCCTTAATAGTTCTTAGCTTTACTATGCACTCGTATAACGAGTAAGAGTTAGTGCACACAATTACAAGGAAATTAAAGATTCTTAGCTAAGTTATAACTTAAGTAAAAGTGGTCGACATAGCAATAGCTATATCGATACTTAAAGATATAGCGTATAGCTTAAAAGCTAATACTGCTTTTATTATTCTCTTGCACTTTTATAACGCTTAATAAAAGATATTACTCGTTAAAGTGAACTCGTTTTTACTTACGTAAAGCTTATTGTTAAAGATAGCTACGAAACCGATCTAAAAGCTAAGGTTAGCGTTATTAGCAAACGCTCCGTTTACGAACATAAAAAGCTTCGCAGTCCTTAAGTTTAAAAGCACGTAATAGATCTTTCGGGTTAAGTGATCGATCAACTACTAGATCACTTTATTAAAAGCTTTATAGTCTTCGTCTTTCGATTCTTAATGCTAAGCAGCTATCGATAAAGCATAAGATGCTTTTAAGTAGCAAATAGTAGCTAAATACGCCTTTCGAGCACGTTGCTTTAAGTACTCTTTAGCTTGTATAATTAAATCGAGCTTGATTACGGCAAGCTTCTTACCTTGTCTTTTCTATTTAATTAATAATCCGAACCCGTCTTTATCTAAAGATAGCTTGCATTTATTGAAAATCATCGGTTCGGCGTATATAAAAGTCTTTATTTCTTTGCTTTTTAACTTAGATTTGACTAACTCTTTTTCTTCTTTTGCTTTTATAATTCGATTAACAACTATAAAAACATCGTCCGTTTATAAAGCAGCTATTCTTAGCTAATCTTTATTAATTAATACAAAAAAGCAAGAATCAAAGCTCGATTGCTTTATCTCGAAGTTATTTGTGAAATGCTTTAAAAAACGCTTATATTAATGCGTTCTTGCTTCGAAAATCTCGTACAAAAAGCTAATCATAAAGAATAAAGTACCGAAAAGGAATCGATAAATAATCTCTTTAAATAATCGTATAACGATTATTTAGATAAGCTTCGTGCTTAACTAAGTATAAGCTTGCGTGATATCTTTATTATAGACTTAACACTTATAATCTTTTATTAGCGAAAAAGCTAAAGCATAATAAAGTCTTTAGCCCGCTCGCTATACCGTAAGTAACTCGATGAGTATCTTCGTTTTGATTTTATTTTAAAAAGCTTAAACTATTATACGAAACTTTTTATATAGCGTAAGTATTTTTTTGCTTTTAATCTTATTAATAAACTTAGATCCGAAAATCTTAACGCTTTTAATACGTAAATCGGTGCTCGAGATCACTTAAAAGATGCTTTAAGCTATTAATCTAGCTAATTCTTTTGCTTTAAACTCTTAAAATAATGCTTTAAAGCTTTTGATAATTCTTTCGACTCGTAGCTTAACTAAGAATTCATAGTCTTAGCGTTCTTTATTAGTAACGAACACTTTAAAGTCTTTAATAAATAAAGCATACGAATTATCTTCTTTTTCGTCGAGCACGGTCGAAATATTAAGATCGTACTTTTAATAAAGTATTTAAACTATTAATATTGTTAATCTTTAAAGATTAGCAAGTTAAAAGTTAAGAAGGCTATTTGTTGATCTTAACGAGCTTTTTAAATTAAGCGAATGTTAAAGTTTAAGCGAATTTCGCGGTTCTAGCTCTTTTTCGCTTTCGCTTTGATCTTTTTCTACTTTTACTTTAAGTACTTGCAACTTTTTTAATAGCTTTTCAACTTTAAAGTAGTAAGGTTTTACTAAAGTTGACTTGAATTTCGTAAGCTTCGGACATGCTATTGTGCACGTGTGCCTTTGCTTGTTAAGCAGCTAAAAAAAGCCTTTCTACCTTTGATTCTTTTGTTATACGAATACTTGTAAGCTAATAAAAAGGTCTAAGGTATGCTCCGTAATTAGCTTATTCTTCTTCTTAAGCGCGTCTTTAACTTGCTTCGCTGCGTAGCATTTTCGTACTTCTCTTATAACTTTATTAATAACAGCAGCACGCTCTTAAATAGACGCGGCAAATCGATCTTGTTCCGTTAGCTTTAATAAGGTCTTAAAAACGAGAAGCGTAAAGACTAAGTTATTAAGTCTCGCCGTATCGTTAATAGCTTTAATAGCTATTTAAAGCCGATCTTCTTTTAAAGCTTTAAGAAGCTCTTTTGTAACGATCTTAAAAGCGCGTCGTATAAAGACGTAATAGCGTTCTATTAGCCCGACGCTATAATAAGCTTTTACAAGCATTTGCTTTAAAGTGCTACTAATACTTTTAAAGTATTTTCAGAACGTTGCCGAATTAAAGTTAGTTTCAAGATCGTGCACGACGTTTATAAAAGGTCCGACGTAAGTATTGATTTAATATCGATTAAATCTTTTAAGTAAGTGCTATGCGAATATACTTTTAAAAAAAGTAACGGCTTGAAAGTTAATAAAATCGCAAACGACGTGCAATACGTTCTTGCTATTAAAGTGCATTACGTTTACGTATATCGTATTATTAAAGTTAATATTATCTTTGAGTCTGATATTAAACTTTTTTAAAAAGCGTTCGAATACTTAATAATAATAGCAAAACTTTTAGATATTATAAAGCAAATCCCGCTTAAATTCGTACTCGGCCCTTTTAAAAACAGTCGCGAATCGACTTGCCGAAAAGTAGCTAAAACGCTTATTGTGACGACACGCCAGGTCTCCTGGACGCACTTCATATGCGCCAAGCTACTTCCCTCCTTTTTTCCTTCGTATTCTTCGTATTCTCTTATTCCCCGCTTTTGACCTATGAACCATGGTTCACGAGTCTTTGGCGCTTCTACCTTCGTGTATATAGACCTTAGCTACTTTCGACTTTTACACTCGGTAGTTGTTGATTCTAAGTTATTATTTTGAGATTCTCTTGAGCTCTTATATGAACCCCCGCGCTCCCGTGAGTTCTTTCAAGTAATCGCTTAAGGTCGTCATATTATTAACAACTACCTCACTCCGCCGGGAACGGCTTCAATAATATTCTTCTTTTTCAGAATTCCTTAGTGGTTGGACGTTAAAACACTTAGACGACTCTAACGGTCACGAGAAGGCTTATTCCAAGTATAACTTAAAGGATAGCACTCACACAACACAGCAACCTTCGCTCCGCGGGCAAAATCTTTCGCACTCCTCTTAAAGCTGCTCTAGCAGCTCCTTCTTCTTTCTCTACGGCCCAACCAGCAGTTCCTTCTACTCAAAAAGAAGCTACTAGTGAGCAAGACGATGAAGATGATCCTTCGGCCTTTACCAACTTCGAGGAAGCTTTGGCCTAACATTAAGCTCTCTTTTAGTCTTAACGAGAAGCCGCTAAGCTCAAAAAGCTCTTCGCAGATATAAAAACCCGCAACGAAGAGCTCGATAAAAGCGCTAGCGAACAAAAAACCTTCGCTAAAAGGGTTAAAAAAGAGGCTCGGCGAGCTCGAAAGGAACTAGACCAGCTCTAGGCGGTCCTGCTAACTACGGAACGCCCGTTAGAGCCTCCTTAAGTTTCTTTCGAAGATAATTCTAAAAGCAAGGAGCTATACAAGCCCTCGGTCCCTTAGGCTACTCCTTTTACTTATAGAACCGTTAACCTTCGCCGCCTCTTCGCCGACGACGATGAACCACCTTCTCTTTACAAGCCAACCAACCTTCGCACTCTAGCTAGGTTTAACACTTTTAGAGCCTCCTCTTTAGCTTCTTAAGGTCGCGCTCGTATCGAGCGGATCCTTAACCTTGAACAGAAGCTCTTAGACGGCGTAAGCTACCGAGCACGTCACTAGCAAGCCCGCGTCTTCGACAACTTAGAAGCTTTCGAAGAATACTTTTTTATAAAACGCTAACGCAAGAATTACGTCTTTGACTAAACCGAAAGAACAGCCCACCTGTTCTTAGCCCTTTTAGTTATGGATCGTAGCAACCTCGTAACCGCTCCGGAACTCGTCTAGATCGCTTTCGAGTTCTTGAACGACTTCGTTGAGAAGGCTAAAGCGTTAATTGAGTTCGAAAAACTCTATATGAGGCTTAACTAGCAATTTTAAGACTTTTACCTTGTTTTCTCGAAGCTTGCCGCTACCGCCGAAATCAAAGACGAGGACCGATTACGTAAGGCTTTGCGTTCTAAGATTATTAAAACGCTGCGCGACCAGCTCTATTTGGAATTTGCTAAGACTACAACCTTCAAGGACTTTCAGACCGCCGTCCAATAATTGGCTGCTGGCCAATACGCGTCTGCAAGGCTTTACGACGCTTTACAGGCTAAGTATAATACTCAATTCGCAAAGAGCTCTTATAATAGAGCTCGTAACGAATCCCGCTCGGCCTAAAGAGCAGCGGTTAAGTAAATCACTTATTACGAAAACCGCTAAGGTAGCTTAGCTTCCGTCTCTTTCTTTACCTTTTAACGCTAAACCTTTAATAGCCTTAGCGCTAATGCAAATCGATCTAATCGATCTAACAAATTCTTTTCTCTCGGAAACGCCCTTAGGTTAGCAATCAAAACCTTTGGATCGTCTCGCAAAGACTCGAATACGCCGAAGCTCTTCCGCTACTACTCAATCAACGAGATAGAATACGGCGCTAGACCCGAATACGGCTCTTATTCGGATGACTCGGACGATAAGCCTTACTCCGACGCTCTTAAGGATCACCAGGAGCTCCTTCTTGCTGACCTCGACGCTCTCGATAATAAAAGAAACGTCGAAGCTTAAGCAAAGCCTCTTTCTTAGGCCAGCTTCGAAATATGCGATACCTCGACCTTACGAAGCTTCTTGGTGGTAAAACTATGACTATACTCGTTACTTTTACTAAGAATGGCCTTTCGTACAAGGTATCTGCTTTGCTCGACTTAAAAGCTAATAAGTACGCGCTGATTGACTTAGCGCTACTTAAATCACTTTCTTTCTTTTTTAAGCCTTTGATTTAACCCTTCTCGGCCTTATTCTTTGTCAAGTCATACAATAGAGCTCGTGAAGCCACTATCTTACATTTTGCACTTCTTAACCTTACGGTTGATAAGCGCGTTTAATCTTTTACTCTCTTTCTTATTATTAACTTTAGAAATCATAGCGTGATCTTCGGACGAGCATAGCTAGCTAAGCACTAGATTCTTTTCGATTGCGCTCGCCGCAAGCTTTATTAGCTTCGTTTTAACTTTCCGACCGCTACTTACGCTAAACTCATTAAGATTACACACTTTAATTAGCGTAAGGTAAACGCTCGTTACTAACACGACGCTAATAAGCGTGATCGAGCCTTGGACCGCTTTTAAAGAGCTTACGACGCTAATTCACTCGTGAATTATGGTTCACGAGCGGATCAAGCAGCAATAATAATCGCTGAATCACCTCTTTCTTTTTAAAATCGTCTTCTTTCTCTTCGGAATCGTCCTCCTTCCGCTTCCTTTTCTAAGATCGTTGAACCTTTTTCTTTTATTTATCCTCTCGTAGAGCCGTTACTCCCTCGCTTTACGGAAAACACTTTTTTTAAAGACTACGTTAAATCAATGTCTTAAATAAACCGTGAGCTTGTATTAATCGACGCCGCTTTCGTAGAACCTCTTTTACCCGTTAAGCGCTCTCGTTAAAAATCTAAGCACAAAATCAATAGAAACCTTAAAATCAACGGCGTTTCCGGATACGCTTTCTATATGATCGCTCGTTAAAAGGACGTAGAACTGTTCTTTACGTCCTTTTACGAGCTCGATTGCTTGATCTTCGAGCGTTAAACGATTGCTTTTATTCAAGCTGACCATCAAGCAGCGCTAACACGCTTTACTAACGGCTTTATCTTTGTTATTGATCTTGCAACGGAACTGTTAAAGCTCATTGACGACCCTCTTATCTTTCTCGAGTACTCCGATTATATATACGTGTTCTTTAAGGCCGCTAGCAACGTATTAGCATTATACAAGCCTTACGACCACAAAATCGAGCTTCTCGAAAGGAAAGAGAAGGCGCTTCGGTACTTTTTATTATACAAGATGTCGATCCTTAAGCTAGAGCTTATTAAAGCTTACTTTATCGACAATCTTAACAAAGGTTTTATCGAACTTTTAACAGCGCTATTTGCAGCTTTAGTTCTGTTTGCTAAAAAGCAAGACGGTTCCTTCCGCTTTTGTATTGACTTCCGCGCGCTGAACAACCTTACTCGTAAAGATCGATACTTTTTCTTTTTAATCGATAAGACCTTCGCACGTCTTTTAAAAGCTAAAATCTTTACGAAACTCGATATTCGGCAAGCCTTTTATAAAATACGGATGGACTCAGCTTTAAAAGAGCTCACAACATTTAAAACACGCTACGGTGCTTACAAGTGCAAGGTTCTCTTATTCGGACTGACTAATAGACCCGCCACTTACTAACGCTATATAAATGACCTCCTTTTCGACTTCTTAAACATCTTTTGCACGGTATATTTAAACGACATCTTGATCTACTCTTCCGACTTTTTAGAGCACGCTAGCTACGTCCGCTAGGTTCTTTAACGATTCGACGACGCTAGCTTTTAGGCCGATATTAAAAAGTGCGAATTCAGCATTATTAAAGTAAAATACTTAAGCTTTATCATCTTTACCGAAAGCTTAAAAGTAGATCCGGACAAAACGTCGATAGTAAAGCATTGGGCGCTTTTTATAACCGTCAAAGGCGTTTAAAGCTTCTTTAGATTTTACAACTTCTACCGCCGATTTATTCGAGATTACGGCGTAATCGCAAAGCTTTTAATGCACTTGATTAAGGCTAACGTTCCTTTTTCATTCAATTCTTAGTGTTAAAGAAGCTTCGACCTCTTAAAGCTCGCTTTAATTACTACGCTAATCTTATAGCACTATAACTAAAACCTCTTTTGTATGCTAAAGACTAACGCTTCCGACGGCGTAATCGCCTTAGTCCTCTCTTAAAAGCATGGTTCCGATTAGCTACTAGTCGCTTACTACTTTAAAACCATAGCTTTCGTTAAGCTTAACTACGTCGTCTACGACAAAGAGATGCTAGCTATTATACGCTCTTTTGGTAACTTCCGCGCCGAACTCGCCGGCTCCTTTTACCAGGTTCAAGTAATCACCGACCATAAGGCCTTAAAGTACTTCATGACTTTTAAGACTCTTAACGCTCGTCAAGCACGCTAAGCAAAGCTCTTTTCCGACTACAACTTTATCATCACGTACAAACTAAGTAAAGACAACCTTTTAGCTAACGCGCTGATACGTCGCACCGAAAAGCTCTTTTCTTAAAACAGCCTTAAGCGCACTTAACGCTTGCAAACGCTGCTTTGCGCCGACAACGTTGACCTACGACTCTTGACCGAAGAGCTACGCTAATCTACGCTTTTAAAGACCGCCGTCACTATCGAAAAGATCGCGGAGCTCTTACCGACATTCCGAGTTATTGACCAAGTCTTAAAAGCTAATCGAACCGCTCCCAGTTTCATAGCACTTCGAATTCAAGCTTTTAAAGCTAAGTCTTCACTCGTGAACCACGGTTCACGAGCTAAACTCACTATGAAAAGCGACTTGCTGCTTTATAACGGCCGCTTATTAGTTCTCGACGTTTAAAACTTGCGCTCGTTACTCGTTCGAAAAGTCTACGACCAAGTATTTACGGCATACCTTAGCTCTCGCAAAACTTATAAGCTCTTTGCAGCATAGTACTACTAGCACGGTATAGCCAGATTCGTCAACTAGTACTGCCGCAATTGCTACGCTTGCAAACGAGCTTCAATGCTTCGCGATAAGAAACTTAATTTGCTTTAACCTTTCCTAATCCTTTCGCGCTTTTAAGAACACGTCACTATAGATTTTTATAGCTTTAATAAAGACAAACACGGTTACGACAACGTCTTTATAGTAATCGACCGCTTCTTTAAACAAGCAATCTCGATCTTTTATCACAAGTCTATCGACGCTAAAGGCTTCGCTAAGCTTTATATCTATTACATTTATAAGTATTTTAAAGCTCTTTTGACACTGACTTTTAATAGAAGACCTTAATACTAGTCCGAGTTTTAAAAAAAATTCAATAAGATCCTCAGCACCAAACTAACCCTTAGCACCGCCGCACACCTTGAGATTGACAGTCAAACCGAAATCTATAACTAGTACTTGCAAAAGCGCTTCCGTCCTTTCGTAAGCTATTACTAAGACGATTGGAGTGAGTTCTTTTTTATGATGGACTTCGCTTAATTGACGCTCTCTTACGACTCTTTCAGCGGCCTTTCCTTTTTTAAAGTAATCTACGGCTACGCCCTTCGGACCACTTGGAATTAGAGCTTAGAACGACTTGACGACCAAACCCCT